ATTCTTTAACAAGACCATCAAAGCAAAACTTCTGATTTTAATGCTATAAATTTCAATAGAAAAAGGATTTTAACAGAATCCAATAATAAGGTACTTTAAAGACAAATTTCATATTCAGAAATATATTGTAAAAAAAAAAAGCAGACACATTAAATATTGGACAACTTAAATTGGAACTAACACTTGTATTTATGCTTATTCAATTTAGGAAAGCATATTTATGCACATCATAAAGTCAATATTGAGGGTTCAATATACAGAAAGGCACTATTAACTTCATATAACACTTGCCTTTTTTCCCATTATTAGGTGGGCTTGGTGTTTCTCCCTCATTGTCTTTATAACATTGAAAACAGACAATAGTTATTAATTTTTAATGTCATTAACAACCCAAATAAAAATCAAGCACACCACAAAAGATGACATCACACACTAGGAAACAAATCCATGCACTGAACATGACACCTCATTAGTGAACACAAGAGTAAAGTGTATCCTTCCTACCCTATAAGAAAAGTAATAAAAACAAAATAAAATGAAGAATAATGAGTCATTTTATACAGTTAGGAAGATTATAGTGATGGTTTTATGCTAATTTAAGAATTGATGTGATTCACTAACTTAATTTTGAGAATGTAGTATAGGCAACAAACTAGTTGAACAAATGGGCTTCTTCATCTTAGTGAAGTTAAAAAAAGTAAAAGTAATATTAACTATTGCTGGAGTCCCCAAACTAACAATATCCTAAAACATGACTTTACTGTGGAAGCTAAGTCAAGAATAGTATGAAAGCCTTTCACTATTTGTATGAACTACTGTAAGACATAGAAGAATGAGCAATACAAAAATATTAACTACAGAGTTAAATTGAAATACAGTTCATTCTTACAGTAGTCATAAAAATGTTATTCCTATAGCATTTCAGGAAAATGAAAAATGTGTGACTTTCTAGTAGGCAGTATACTAGAAATTCGTAACAGAGACAGTTACACATTTCCATAAACATGCAGCTAAACTTGCCTTTGCTTTCATTGTCTGATGTACTCTGATGATTTTTCTCATCTGTATTACATTAAAAATAGTTACTATTAAATTAACAACTGTAGCTTAAGAGGTCTTCTATCTTAAATTACATACACCACTGAAAAATGTATCCATGAAAATACACCTCCTGCACAACTTATATAATGGCATTGCTTTCACACAATGTGAAAGAAACAAAATACACCCTACTGTTCATGAATAAAAATGATGAGTAAAACAATAAAATTAAATCTAAAGTTATCCTGCATTGTTCAAAGAAATTAAAAATATATTTTTAAAACAACAGCTTAGGTAAGATTTGGTTTCAACTCTGAGTTTCAAATTAAAATAGTAAAAATTAAATAAAAGAAGTATATAAATATATTTACTGATTATATAACATTTTAAGTTTCTGACAAAGAAAGTGGCAAAAATTATGATATGAAAATATAATAGGGACTTAAAACACCAAAATGAAGTTGTCTCCATAACCATTTGGAAGGAGGACTCTTAGGGAAGAAATTATAATTGTCAATAAATATTAAAGTAATATTGAGCTGTGATGAAGAAAAGGTTACTTACAGTTAATTGTGCTTATTTTAGGGGAAAATTTTTATGGACAAAATGGAGATAGTCTATAAAAGTTTTAATAATTAAAATTTGGAATTTACATTCTGCTCTGTATTTTCTTGTAATTTGCCTCTGCAAAATCCTTGAAAGAAAAATTCTTAAAAGAAAAGGCTAAAATTTCAATACACCTTTACTCAGTGTAAAACGTGGTAAAATGTAGCATTTTAGTAGGTACTCAGTAAACATTTTTTAATAAATAAATGAACTGAATGTAAAGCTGGGGTAAAAGATAAGTATAAATCATGGTCATAAGCATTGTCTATAATTTTTGTTTGATTAAACATTAGAAAAATGTTCAAATGGTAAATTAAATATTCAGTTATGTTAGCTAGATAGCTTATATAATGTCTCTCCATTAAAATTTAGGTAATTTATTTTAAAATTAGTACTAAAAAACAATCTGTTTTTTGCTGTACATTTATAAATTTAAAATTTAAAAGTCACACTTCTAAAGCATTTATTTATTTTAGACACACAGACAGACCTGCCTTGACCTCTTCACCCTGTTTCTCTGCCCCCTGCTCTTCCACATCCCCAGTTTCTTCATTAACTTCTGTATTTGCAAAAGTAAAAGTAAAAAAAAATGATAAGGCCAGATATGTATATTTGTTACTCTTAAGTGAAACAAAACATTTCAAATTATTCATGCTATATTAGTGATTATTAAAAAGACTAACAAAAAGTTTCTGACATGTTATGGAAGCAAATAAGTATACCTGTAACAAATAATCATATTGTCTCCTTTTATAATGACTTTGATTTTAAAAGAGAAATTGTGGCCCCTAAAATAGTTGCAAAGGTGATAAATGTGTAAAGCATGCATAAAACTTTGTCTATTAACTTGGCACATTCTTATAAAAATAAAATTACATAGCTTTTCTTCTAAGAAACAAAATATGTTATTACAGACCTTTCATTTTTACAAAATGCCACATCAAAGTTAGAAAAAAATTATATACATATATATACACATATATATATTAGTAGTGAATTACAGTTGTTTTAGTACATTGTACTTTGATTATATTGCTTCTATTTTCTCTAGTTCTCAAAGAGATGACTAATGCTATACTACCATCAATATTAATATAGATTTATAAGGTTTAAAATAAATTTAATTAACAGACTAAAATATAACATAACCAAAATGAAAAGGAATTAAATTAAGACTTGCTAATTTTTTAGCTGTTGAACAAGATTGGAAAAAAAAAAATGTTATTACTTTTATTCCAGAATAATGCAATTAAATTACAACTTCTGACAACTTTTTAGAGATATTCCAAACATAATTAGTTTTAGACTATCAGTTGATAGTCTCTCTATTTTGGGTTATGTCCCTTTAAGTTCAGTTAGAAGTTGAAGATTTCTATAGAGGTATCACATATCTCTTTTAAAGCTAAAGAAAATCACATAATCATGTAGCTACTGCTCTTCATATGAACCTTTATAAAAACACTGTGAAAATCATTTATACTTTTAAGCAAAACAAAATAAACAAAAACCCTTTTATTTCAAACCAGAAAGGTAAAGGGAAGTTTTTGGCTCTCCTCTCTTATTTATGAAAATAGAAAAGCCACAATAAGAGACATTAAAGAAAAACTGGTTTTAATAGATTCTGTAGGGCAGAAAACAGATAGTAAATAGAATGTTTGTGGAGAAGCCCATTAAAAATTTCCTCTGCCCTGGCCAGGTAGCTCAGTTGGTTAGAGCATCGTCCCTGTACACCAATGTTGTGGGTTCAGTCCCTAGTCAGGGCACATATAAGAATCAACCAACAAAACTATGGATAAGTGGAACAACAGATAGCTCTTCCTCTCTTTCTCTCTCTTTCTCTTTCTCTCTCTTTCTCTCTCCTTCCTTCCTTCCCTTCCTTGCTCCCTCCCTCCCTCCCTCCCTTTCTTCTCTCTCTCTTTCCCTAGCTAAAATCAACCTAAATATTTTTTAAAACTTTCTCAGTCCTGATTTTCAGTATCAACTCTATGTCAGTTTTCTAGTTTATTTATTAGTACAAAGAATGTAGCTAGTCATATTTCAGTAGATTACTATAAAAGATATTAAAACTAAATTTACAAAAAAAAGTGTTATATAAACTATGTTTCTGACTTCATAGGTCATCAAATAACATCAAAATTCTATCTTGGAGTAACAAAAATTCCATATATATTACAGAACTTTCCTTATGGAAAGTACTTTTAAAAATATATACCCCATTCTTATGCAAATAATTCAGAACTATAGAAATGCTGCTGAAATCTTTTTATCAGGCTGCATAACAGACCATTAGTTGCAATAGCCTTGAGTTGTAAAATCATGGCACAAAGCAAACAGAAATGACCATAAAATAGAAGTTGATCAATCATTCAACTACAACTAACAAGAACAAAATTTGTTCCAAGTTATATAAGGTAATAAAAGTAATGCTGCCCAAATTCAATGCAGTTGAGAATTTGTTACAAATAGGTTACAGAATCTGAATCTGAATATAAATATATATAGAATAACAAGATTATTGTAGTGGTGCTTTATACACTATTTGAAGTAGTTTATCAGTCTTTAAATAAATATTTAATGTATTCATTCAACAAATATTTATTGAGGGCCTTTTATGTGCCAGGCATTATTCTATGTGCTGGGGATTATTTTATAAATAAACCCGTTAATTATTTAAAATTACAAAGTCAATTTCAGAATTGTATAATTAGCAGAGAAAATCTGTGTTGTCCAAGTAAATGTATGACACATCATATGTCATGACTCAATATTTTCCCTTGAGTTACAATGTACTATGACAATAAATCTGTACATATTTAACTTTTAAATACTGTAAGCAATCTTGCTACAACATGAAAAATGATGGAGGAAATGCAAACCACAAGCACTATCTAATTCAACAACTTCCTCTTCTAGAAAGCCAAATTTAATAATTAAAAGATCATCATAAGTACAAAATGAAATATATGATGATAACTACAACTAGACTAGGTGTATAACCTCAATGACATAAACACAGACTGCAATTGATATCTTTGGTTAGTTTTGCACAAAACAAAGAATTCTGCTTAAAAGACAATTAAATTTTTTTAAAAAGAGAAAATTTTATCTTGTCATTTAAAAGAAGTTAAACTCTTTGCATTCTTACTTGAGTGAATCAAAGAAATTTAACTCCTTGTCATAATTTCCAAGTTAAACCAAAGTCAAATACTTTACCAGAAATCATAAAACAACATATTTTATTGTATATAAAGTCTATACAATAGAAGGACATCAATTGCAGTTGGGTTTATTTTTGCTTACAAAGCCCCACAAAAAGGCTGCAGCACAAAACAAACCCTCCTTTATGTACAGACCTTCACAAGGTTCTATCTCCTTGACTCCATTGTCTAGGAAAAACAAAATAAAAACAAAACAAAGAAAGGAACCAAAGCACAGGGGTTAAAAACAACAGAAATTTCCAAAGGCACAGAATGTTTCATCAATTAAAGAAAAGTTAAATGCTGAATTAAATTTTTGTTTTTTTGGTACAGCACATCCAGTTACTCATATAAAAGGACCATTTAAAAAAATAACAATAAAAATAAATTATTATATTCTATCTTTCCATATTTTCAGAGGTCCTCTAACCAAAAATTTATAGATGTTTGGGGGGTACGTTCACTTGTGTGTAAGCGAAGAATGCTTCTTATGCAAAAATTTGAAAGTATTCAAAATAAGTATTAAAAATATCAGTACAACATGCATCTTTCTTTGTATATTCATGATTACCTTTTTCTGGTACTCCAGTTTTGAGAAGGATCACCATTGTTGTATATCAGCTAACCAGTCCTTCGCAGTGTGTGAAAATTGATTTGGCTAGTTACTAATAAACTTTATGTAACTATCAACAATTATACAAACTTAGTTGTAGCAAAGAAATATTATTCAACTGCTTATTAAGCAAGAGCATTAAGTTTACTTTTAAAAATGCATTAATTCAAATTTGTAAAATGTGCAAGAGCAATAATAAATAGTAGGTTATTTTATTAGCAAATATTACAAACTTTAAATGCAAAATATTATTTAATTACTAGCAAAAGCAGCTAAGGCATTCAATGAACAAAAGAAGAAAACTAAGAAAGGTAGTAAAAAAATCTGGATTCACCTTAGCTTCCATGTGTATTTCCAATATGACATAATTAGAAATAAAACTTACTTCTCTCCAGTGTTCCCTTTGGTGGCAGTTGTGGAAGTTGTCGGCCCCTTCGTCCTGCCACTGGAGTACTTGATGGGCTTGTTTGGACAGACCCAGTACGAGGATGAGACCTACGAGATATACATTAATATTCACTTTCAATATAATGGGTTAAATACTTTTAATATATTTGGTTCATATGATAGCTGTATAAATGCAATTTTAAAAAAGGTTTAGCTGCTGATTAAACGGTTAGAAAAGTAAGATACAACATGGATAATTGAATGATTATCTAAATAGTATAAGATGTTTAAACTTCGTGTAATATGCATACATACACATGCACATAAAATCCTACAGTAAAAGCCATGGGATTATTAATGTAAATTAATATTCTACCCATACAAAAGTAAGAGGAAAATTCTACAGCTCAAAAAATAAAAGGTATTTCTTTCTACCAGATTTCAAACTCTTAACTCTAACCTCTCTCCCTTGATCCAAAGAGATTTTTACTCAGGCTTATAATAGATATCAATTTATTAGAAAATATCTGATGAAACTACAAATAAAACCCTGAACAATTCAAAATTCAGCTAAAGAAGATAATGGTCAATACATGATATTAGTATTGATAGAAAGAAACTAAAAATCTAGTTTTATTTGTCATTATGATGATTATTCCTAAGGTGATGTCTAATGAACACAAACAATTTCTCATTCTGTAGGAGAAGAACATGATAGTTATGAGGTGCATTATGTGGGGATTTACCCAGGACTCCTGATAAATGAGAAATCACAAAACAAATGCAGTCAGGACAGTTAAACATTTCACAATGATAGCCACACACTATTATATCCACTGAATATCAATAGTGTGCTTACACTGAAAAGGTTAGTATTGATTGTTATTAGTGATCAGCCAAGAATGATAAGAGACCATTTAGCTGCTGGGAAAATAAAATGGTGTGCTGGCAGAGCAAAGGGGAAGTTAGTCTGATTGATTTATCTTTCACCTCGATAAGGCAGGTGAAGGAGGGGCAGATCTTCCAGTCATTAATGAAGGCATCGACCTCATGAGGTTTGTATCAGGACGTTCAGTGGATCTGGAGCGGGTGGTGGTCCGCTCTAGGAGAGGCCGTTGTTCTGTTGATCTGGATCTGTGATATGGCTGTCTATCTGCTGCTTCACAATCCCTGAAATGTTAGTCAAAAAGCAGCTCAGTTGATCTTTAGTGCCCTTCTGCTATTTGGTTATGATGCAAAAGGTAATTGTTTAAAATCACTGAGTATGTAAGAAAAATTCTCTTCCCCAACATATTCTGAACAAATTCTCACTAAATTTTAAGATTTCCTAAGGAACCAAAATCTGCCTTTAATAGAAATTCCCAGTGAAGATAATAGAAGTTGCTCAGTTATAATCAAAGAGACAAAATGGCCTGCTCTGCAAAGGGAATTAATTCCCTTTTGAATATATAACATATGTAAAGTATTCTGTTTTATAAGAATTCAATGACTTTTTTTTAACCTTTTCTAAAGAGTGGAAAAAAACATATAAGCACTATTCTCAAGAACCTAAGGCTGTTTAGTATACCAAACAAGATATAAAAAGGCTTACAACACAATCAGTATACTGATACACATAAATATTCAGACAGAAGAATCAAAATGTTATAAGAAAACAGAGCTTCTCTACAGTCTGTAGCAATATTTAAATATGGTCTACAAAAACAACCACTGTATAGAAAACTGGTTAATCAGCCAATCTACGACATCTATCTCAATGCTGTTTAACGATGCCAACCAATACAATTCAGAATGCATATTAACTGATCGAAGTAATAATGGTTCTGAAACAATGTGATCTCTTTGACCATAAATAAACTAATATCAAATCCTAATCCTTGTTGAAAGAAGTATCCTTACATTTAAGTAATCTAGCATTACTGATTTTGTTTTATCCCTGGAGTCTAGCATAATACACCTAACATGTGGCCAGTAAATGTTTTCTAATACAAGCTCCATTATCAGTGAGACAACCCAAAAAATACTAGCTTTGACCTTAGAATTCTAACATAATACCTAATCCGAAGTATAATTCAAATCAAACTATTACTTCCCCAGCTAGTTGTAACCACAGAAAAGGAAATGCTTATATATTATAAACGGTAAAACAAGCATTAGTCTCCCTCAAGATTAATATATCAAGGATGTTCACTTTACCTATAAATTCTCTCAATCTTATTTTTATAAAAAAATGTAAACAATTTAAAATTAAATAAGAAATAAAGAATACAACTTCCCATATGTAATTAGTAATTGGGCATATAATTTCAGATCAGTAGACAGATGACATAAGTAAGTGAATAATGGATTTATTCTACAATGTATCTTATCATTATCTTACACTTTCAATTCATGGGGTAATATGTAAGTCAAATAATTTTTAAATATTTTGAAGTCAGTGTATCATAATATGATTGATTTCCTAAGATAACCTTAGTATTTTTTTCCTCACCCGAGGATATTTTTCTATTTATCATCAGATAGAGTGGGAGGAAGAGAGAGAGAGAGAGAGAGAGAGACAGAGAGAAACAGAGAGAAACATTGCCATGATAGAGCCACATCGACTGGTTGCCTCTCGCAGGACGGACCAGGGCCAGGGATGAACTGCAACCGCAGTACATGCCCTTGACCGGAATTGAACCTGTGACTCATTGGTCTGCGGGCCAACGCTCTAACCACTGAGCCAAACAGGTCAGGGCTAACTTTAGTATTTTTATATGTGCATCCAGAATATGGTAAAAAGCTGAGATTAAATATAAATACATATACAAGACTCAATTACTTGTCAAAGAGAGGGAAAAAAGTAACCTGACAGTTTAAAAACTAATAATTCTATATTTAGTCTCACAAATGTGATTTTAGAGAAAACACTTTTCTTTAGAAATAAATATACTCAATAATTTGTTAAATTATTAGTATACATATTTTTTAATATCTTCATCACAATAAATAACCAGAATCAACGGGATATACATATCTTAGATTCCTTAAAGCCTATTTTTGGACAGTATCAATATTCATATTATTTTCAGATTTCCAATTATCTTAAGTTAATACTGAACTTATCTCATTATAGAACATGTAGTAGTAAAGCTTTGTGGAATATCTATGACTACCCAAACAGAAATTCAGGCTATTTCATTTATTTATACAAAATGATTTATTCTGATTCCATCAAGCAATTTTTCCAAGTGGAAAGTGAAATGTTACACTTTTACTTCTTTGAAACTATATTTTTAATAACTGAAATATATACTTGTGAGTGAAATTCAGAGAATCATTTGAAATGAGTTGCTATGTTCTGTGTTCTTTAAAAGGTATTGTTATTTATAAAGCAAATAGGTCACTCCTTAGGAAATAGTCCTTTTTCTCTGTTTAGAGAAAAAGTTGTTTGGAGATGTCAGCTTTAAATTTTATTTACATTGTTTCTTCATTTCATAAATAATATAAATGACATGATTTTCATAGTGTGAAATGAAAAATCTGTTAATAAGTAAAACATGAAAAGAATCACAGAAGGAGGCAGAGATTTCCTAAAATGCCATACCAGTTAAGTGGAATGGTAAGCTACCATATTTTAAATTTTGATTACACAATAGAAGGTCAAGATAACTCCTGCTCTCATATTGGGAAAGCATAGGTCTTTATTAGATAAGAATTCAGGTAATTGCTGAAATAATCGAAAGCAAACAAAACCTGTCTCATATATAATGTCCAGTCTCATAGCAGGTTTTTAAAGGGGTTGATTGAGATATAAAACTTGACCACCTGCACCTAAATTCTTCCTGAATTTTTATTTTAAGATAATATCATAAATAATTAATTCTGAACACACAGTAGCAACTGACATGTGGGAAATAATAGATAACCATTTACAATGCATAAACTATTTTAGTGCCTTCTTGGGGTTCATAACTTAGGGTCTGTATTTCAATATAAGTAATTTCCCCTGCAACCCTAATTGTATACTTTATGCATTTCAAAACATTATTCAAAAAAGGTGGCCATAGGTTTTACAAGACTGCCAAAAGAAGTCATTTGAAAGGTTAGGAACCACTCATCTATAAACTTAAAGTCTTCCTTGGGTAAATAATTTGGTTATCTTTCAAAAAGTGATTTAACATATGGCATGGTTCTGTCTTTTAAATAAATACTTTATATTTTCTAATACATGTTTTAAATAGTTCACTTTTTATATGTGTAATTTACCTGGATAGATTACTGCTCTACTGTATTTATTGGTCGCTATTCCAAACTGCAAGTACTTGGAGAGGTCAGGGCGGAATAGCCCTTCTGTAAATAGAGCTAATTCACATTAACTGATAGTATTGTAACAAGAGCCAGTATTTGTTCCACCCAGCTTTATTATTACTATTTTTTATCCTCACCTGAGGACATTTTTGCATTTATCTTCAGATAGAGCGGGAGGGAGAGAGGGGGGAAGAGCGCAAGAGAAACAGTGATGCAAGAGAGACACATTGACTGGTTGCCACCCACAGGACCTCAACTGGAGCCAGGGACAAACTGCAACTGAGGTATGTGCCTTTAGCAGAAACTGAACCGGGGACTCTCTGGTCTGCAGGCCGATGCTTAACCACTGAACCAAACCAGCCAGGGCTACACCCAGCTTTAAAAGCATATAATAGCACATGATTTTGAGATGAGGATTGATGAAGAAAAAATAATTTTATAATCATCCAGTGAAGCTGTTCATTTTGAGTCATTTTTCCTCTCAGTATAATTGCTCTTAAAAGATTTTTTAAATTTCTAAGTATTTGACATAGCTTCCTACTTATTTCATCATTTTTGCTACTTATGTATACGATTCTAAATCAAAGTACAGGGAAGTTATGCTATGTATAACAGGAGAATAAGCCAGTGGAAATTTTTTTCTATAACCATCTGTATCAAAATGATACAATTCCAAATCAACATAAGCTCAACGAAGAGTAGTATTGGTATTCTTCTGTCATATCTAGAGATATAATCAAAAAAATTAAAAACAACCAGCACAATGCAAAGTTTCAAGGTAATACTCAGCTATGTCAGTGAAAATTGTCCTAGAATATAACTCAGACCCTGCAGTCTATGCTAAATCAGTTTTATTTCATGTTTATATTATAAAGATGCCCTGATAGGTTTTCTTTAAAAATAAACCTGCAAAAAAGTAAAGCTGTTTAGGAATTAGTTATTATTTTTTCTTTTTATGAAGAAATAGTTTCTTTCTAAAGCTGAAATCTTAAAAAAAAGTGGATGTATCTCTGGAAGACAAGAAGCATAATCTCAGGTCTGGGGTAAGAAATGCTTTTCCTATTCCACATTGTGTAATAAAGTAAGCTGATTCACAACAGAAGCATGAATATCTAGAGATTTTCTGAACATTAAGTAGCTGCAAAATATAAGAATACATAATAAAAATTTTAACAGACATTTTAGAGTAATTAATATAAAATATATGTGTGTATAATAACAAATAATTTAAAGCGATTACATGACAAATACATAATTTTCATGTTTATCATAATGTAAGAGGTATAAGTTTAACTTTTTAAAAAACCCTAGTTTATATTAGTTAAGCATTGTTTCCAAAGTTAAAGAAATTGTGAGATATAAAACACTCACCATGGAAATCATGGTAAATAAATATTGTGTATAAATAGAAGCATTTTATTATTTTGGTGGAAGATAGATTAATTTATCCATGGGAATGACAGCATTTCTCCACAGAACATTTCTGTTCAGTTAAACATAAATTCTGTATGTTTGTTAAAAGTAAATAATCTTATTAAAAAATAACAGCAATATTTAGAGTCTGCCATGTTAATAACCATCTAAAATGTGAAAATGGTAATAAAACATGTATGATGAGAGAAAGCAACACAGCTTTAGTTTAGAAAAACATATTACTATACCCATAAGCCTAAATTATTATCAAAAAGAGAAGTAAAATGTCTCATATCTAGAGAAGTTTTTTTTTTTTTTTAATAGTCATTATTGGAAACAGCAATAAGAGAGATAAACAATCCAATTTCCTCAAGAAAAATATGGACAAGTACAACAATGAACAATAAAAATATATTGTATTATTAATATGCACACAGAGAAACGTATAAGATGTAAATATCTTTAGA